AAAGTGCCCTTTTCCGGAGGGTCTTATTCCTACTTATTCAAAGCCGGAAAAAAGCGGCGGACATTTTTATTTAAATGCCGCGGGGGATATTTAAATCCCCCGCGGATTTCCCTACGACGACTGCTGAAATTTACATGCCCCTTCCGGAAAAGGGGCCAGTGTAGACGTAGCCAGTATGAGGAGGGGGCCCTGGCATGAGTGGCACAGAGGCATGGGGTTCTGGCTGGGACAGTTGGCGGAGGCTACATCTACGCTACAAGTTTTGCTGGAAGAGGCAATGCACACTCTCTTCGGATCCGTTTTTGCACAAAAACAAGCGGTGTGGACGTTTCCGTTTTGCGCAAAGCCCCCGTTCTGCGCACGACCAGTATACCTCCGTTTTTGAGGCCTAAGGATCTTGCGTAAAAATGGTGCCACAGGACTCCACGCCACTTTTGCGTAAAAAGGGATTTTTAATGCAAAAAGGAAACATCCACACGGGCTTGTTTTTGAGCAAAACCCCCTAGCGCAGAAACGAATTGGAAGAGAGTATTGAAATGAAGCGTGAGAAAATGCTCATCCATGCTTCATTTGCATTGCCTCTTCTGGCAAAATTTGTAGTGTAGACGTTGCTTGAGGGTGTACAATGGAGGACCAGGCATGGGCAGTGGGTGAGCAAGGCTTTTTTTTTTTTAATCATCAGCGCTGGTACATCAACCCCCACCTCTATTCCCTACATTGCTGAGCTCAGGAAAGTGAAACAAGCCCCTTGACACTGCCCAGAGGGAGCCATGGCTACAGAGAGCCCCGTGGAACGTCTCTCGGAAGAAGCGACGTGTCCCGTCTGCTTGGATTATTTCACGGCCCCTGTCACTCTGGAGTGTGGGCACAATTTCTGCCAGGCCTGCCTCAGCCGGTGCTGGGAAGAACGCAACACAGCCGCTTCCTGCCCTCAATGCAGAGACACTGTACAGAATAAACACCTCCAGCCCAACAGGCAGCTGGCCAATATAGTGGAAATAGCCAAGCGGCTGATTTTGCAGGCAGGGAAGGGCACAGAAGGGAGCGGGGTGTGCGGTGAACACCAGGAGACTCTGAAGCTTCTCTGTGAGGAGGATCCTATATATGTGGTGTATGACAGGTCCCGGGCTCGTGGAGCTCACGCTGTGGTTCCTATACAGGAAGCTGCCCAGGCGTACAAGGTACAGAGTTGCTGTCCAGTTTAATGGGAAATAATTTGAGGTTTTAATTACAGTCTGATTTTGCTGACTGTTACCTGGTACGAGAGATGCTGTAAAAAATAAATGCTCTGGCTGTGTGACAACTTATATCAAGTCTTTACAGATACCTGATGTGGGAAACATTTCTCTTGAGTCTAAATCCTGAACCCCAGCCCCTGCTAGTGGCAGGAGGGGTTTTTACACAAGGGAAGGTGTTAACAGAGAGTCGAGATTAGTGTTTCTCAACCTTTTTTTTATAAAGTACCCCTTAAAAATGTACCCCCCTTTAAAAAAATTGTAAGTACCCCCAGTACCTACCGTTTTCAGACATACCAAATGCTTTTCTACCATTGCCACACATTTGTTTAAAAAACTTAATTGTAGCTGGGCAGGTGATGACATTTTTTGGTGTAAAAAGTACAAAAAAGTGCTGTAAAATTAAAAACAAAAATTTAGTTTTCTCCAAATTTCACTTGGGTTGACATACCCCCAGACTTCTGTCAAGTACCCCTAAGGGTTGAGAAGCACTGGTTTAGAACACAGGCACTGCAGGCCAGTCTATGCAAGTGAACTGCCTTCAGACTGGAGAAGGGGAGGTTACAAGCTGTTACTGATTGGATGAACAGCAGTAATAATCCATCATTTACCTTACATGCCCCACATGGCATGTGGGCCCTGCACAGCACCCAGCAAGGGACAGACCCTGCCCTGAGCAGATCACAGTCTAATTAGACAAATGGTGGGAAGGGAAAGTAGGTTGCTTCTGGTCACCAAGCATGTTAGTGATTGAGTTGAGCACAGAATCCTGGTCTTTCTGGGCTCAGTCCAAGGCCCTAACCACTAGGCAACACTGCCCCCCCTGCCTGCCAGTATCACTGAAGAGTGATGAAATGTGGCCCTGGATAAAGCCCCTGGCCCAGCAGGGAGAGGAGGTTTCCCGCTGGGGTGCTGAACTCGTGGGCTGCTCCATGAGGGTAAAACCCACAACAGGGCTCCTGACTAGGGCTGTTAATTGACTAGTTGGTAAGCGGGGGGCTGCAGCGGGATTACCTCCCAGCCCAGGAGCTAACCCTGCTGCGGCTCTTAATACATTAAAAAAGCAAAAGCGCAGCAGGAGGCCCCCCACCCAGCAAGGGACAGTCCCTGCCCTGAGCAGATCACAGTCTAATTAGACAAATGGTGGGAAGGGAAAGTAGGTTGCTTCTGGTCACCAAGCATGTTAGTGATTGAGTTGAGCACAGAATCCTGGTCTTTCTGGGCTCAGTCCAAGGCCCTAACCACTAGGCAACACTGCCGGCCCAGTCCCAGCTACCTCTCTGCCGCCCCTGCCTCCCGTGGAGACATCTCCCCCCAGCACCAGTTCCTGCTCCGTCCCCCTCCCCGCTTGCTGCAAAGGCAGTGGGAACGTCTTGTGAAGGGACTAGTCAACTATCCAATAAGCTTTTGCTTATCAGATAGTCGACTCGTCGCTTACATCCCTACTCTAGACAGCACAGGGCCATGCCAGGCACCACTGGGATCAGACTGGTTAACTGATGAGCTAATGCATATCGGTGCCAGTTACTGGTTAAACTGTCCGATGCCCTGGCAGTGCCCACTGGCCCCTGGCAGCTAATTTCAGTCTGCAGCTGCTGGGAGTCCCCACCTGCTGGCAGTCTTTGTGGCCACCCCTAGCAGTCTCTGCGTGAGAGCCTTGGTCCCAGGAGAGCCCACATTTGCTACCTGTCCCTGCCTGTCGGCAGGTTAAAAACAATACTGTAACATTAAATTTTAATCAGTTCCATGATTAGTTTTTTTAACTCTTTTTACCTCCCTAATCCCCACCTGCATCGTACTTTGTGAAGGTGCCACCACTGGTCCCCACCCACATAGGCATCCTGCTGCATCTGCAGTCTCTTCCTGTCTCCTTTTCAATAAAACCACATCCAGGGCTGAGTCCCTGCCAGACAGGACAGAGCCCCACCAAACTGGGACCATGCAGCTTGAAGGCAGACAAGTGGGCTCCAGACAGCTCGTGGTTGTTTGCCCTGGTGCTTATTTCTGTTTGCTCAGGAAAAATTTGTGGCCTATTTGAAGACGCTGGGGCTACATCTACACTGCTCACTTTGCTCATAGTGCCTATGCAAATGAAGCACGGATTAGCATTTTGCGGTGCTTCGTTTGCATAATTTATTCAAGCCGTTTATGCGCAAGGGGATTTTATGCAAAAGGAGCAGTGTGGACTGGGTTTTTTGTGCAAAACCCCCGTTTTGTGCTAGATCTTTATGGTGTGAATAAATTATGCAAATGAAGTGCAGTAAATGCTAATCCGTGCTTCATTTGCAAAGCCAGCAGTGTAGCTGTAGACTGGGGTTATGTTTACATTGCTCTCTGAACTGGAAATAAGATACGCAATTTGTGTACTTATTTCGATTTTATTTCGAAATAAAGCACTATTTCAAGTCATCTCTTAACCCTCGTGGAATGAGGGTTACCGGGATGCCGAAATAGTGTGCCCTTTATTTTGAAAAATATTTTGAAATAATGGGTGGCTTGTGAAGGTGCGGGAGTTATTTCGGGGTACTGTTTGTATCCTGAAATAGCACTTCATTGTAGATATAACGGCTACATCTACACTGCGGGCTTTTTGCGCAAGAAATTTTTTGCGGAAGAGATTTTCTGCAAAAACTATTTGTGCAAAAGCGCATCCGCATTGCATGGATGGTCTTGCGCAAGAAAGCTTTGATGGCCATTAACAGAACGGCCATCAGAGCACCTGTGCTTTTTCTGTTAGGCTCTTTTTGCACAAAAACCCTGTTGAGCGTCCACACACACCTTTTTGCATAAGAACTCTTGTGCAAAAAGGAGTTATTCCTTGTAGAAAGAGGTATATCTACACTGCAAAAAGCCCTCTGTTCTGCTGTTCTACTGTAAATTTTCTTGCGCAAAAACGCACTTGAGGTGTGGACGCTGTGTGGGCAATGTAGACGTAGCCACCCTGAGAGAAGAGAGAGAAAAGTTGCTGGGATGGAAAGCAACGAGAGAAACCAGGAGTATCTGGTAGGTGCCTGTGGGTATGAACCGGCAGGGACCAGTGATGGGAGGGCAGTGTTAGGAGGCAGACTCCTGTGTGGCCTTGCTGAGGTCGGGCTTGTTTGTGTTTCTCCTGGATCATGGATTGCTGGGTTAGATCCATGTGTGGACGGGCCCTGAGCTTCCATGTCGGGATGAGTTAATGTTCAGCCCCTGTAACTTTCCCAGAAATCCTCCCCAAGGGAGCCGAATGTCCCTGTGAAGGGCTGTCGGCTGGGTCTGGCCACTTTGTGCATTAACAGGTTTGTTTATTTTTCCTTCCTGGGTGTGTCTGTCAGGCTGGGGCTGAGTCCTGCCTCCTGCTGCTCTGGATCTGAATTCTCAGTGCTCATGAATAACAGAACACTCTGCCCATGATGGGCAGGAAACCGTCCCTTTCAGAGGGACATGAGCGGAAGGGGAAGCTGGGAGACTCCTGAGCCTTGTACCCAGAGGGTTGAGTCAAATGTCAGAAATTTTAGGATTTTCCAAGTTCTCCCTGCTGTGCACTCAGCTCCCCATGAAAGGGCCCTCAGCTCCATCCATGCCCCTGACCAGCCCTTTCCCTTTTTTCATACAGAAACAGACAGAAACCCAAAGGCAGAAGATTATGGGGGAGTTTCAGCATCTTCAGCAGTTCCTGGAGGAACACGAGCGACTCCTGCTGGCCCAGATGAAGAAGCTGGAGGAGAAGCTGGTGAGGCTCCAGACTGACACGGTCAGGAAACTCTCTTCACAGATTTCCCATCTCAGGCTCTGTCTAGACTATGGGGTTTCCTGAAAAAACTCCACCGCGTCCAGGGAACACATCTGCTCTTCTGCTTTTTCGGGGGAAAGAGAAGACGCGCTCTTTCGGAAGCCCTGTCTTCCTCCTCCCATGAGAAGGGTTCTTCCGAAAGAGGAGGTTTTTCTGAAAATTGGCCCAGTGTCGATGTGCTAAATTTTGGAAAAGTCGCTTCCAAAACAGCAATTGGAAAAAGGTATGCAAAATGCGGAGCGTGGGTGTGGCGTACCTTTTTCCAAAAAAACATTGTAATCTAGACATAGCAGCCGTGAGCTGATCGGGGAGCTGGTAGGGAAATGCCAGAAGCCAGCGAGTGAATTCCTGCAGGTCAGACAGAGGGGGAAACATCCCAGCTCCCCACACAGGGAAGGGAGGCTCCTGAATCACAAGCGCTGGGGTCCAGCCGTCAGATCAGGGTGTAACTCGGCGTGTGCGTTGCTGACATGTCAGTGACTGTTGCGCTTTGCAGAGTTACAAGCACAGAGATAGTAGAGATGGCAAAGCCCCATTATCTCAGGGAATCCATGGCCCTGGGGCCAGGGCAGGGTCTCTCTTCCCCATGTTTGCAAAATCCCTTCCCCGGGGCTCCTGTGTGTGTCCGATGGGGCTGAGATTCTTTTCTCTCTTTCTCCTGCAGGATGCCAGCAGCACCTTGAGCAGGTACGTGGCTCTTTCTCACTCCCACTGCACAACACTGGGGAGGAGCTTGGAGCTGATGTGAGCACCACATCCCCCCAGGGCTCCCCAGCCAGACGGGAGGGGAAGGTCACAGGCTGGGCACAAATCTCTGACCAACTTCAGCCGGAGGGTTTCGCCCTCACACAGCAGACTCTGGAATTCTCCAATCAGGGGCACAGTCTGATCTCAAGTATTTCCTAGAGCTGTCACCTCCCTGGGGACTGGCTGCCTCAGGACTGTGGGGATGGGACATGGGGCTGTCCCTGCTGGGCACTGGGCACCATTCAGCCC